GGGGGGGGGGCGAAAGGATGAGGGAGGGGGATGTTAACAACATTGTGTTCATGATGCTAACAGTTTATAGCAGAGCTTTGTGTTATCTCTGCCCAAAATCTTCGCACAGAGCTAATGTGAAACAATATGGAATGCCATCTGTGTGTTAGCATGCGCCCTGCTTTGAAGCAACTCATCCTTTCCTCCGTCTCCTCCTTCTCGGGTTTTTACATACCGTTCCGCCCCTCTTGCTCCCTCTACAACAGCATCATCCTATTGCGATCAGTGTGTTTATTACGTGTATGTTCGAATCTGATCTGTGATTACAATTAGACGACGAATATGCTATGCTGTGGCTTTGACATGGGATGCATGTGCGGCGCCATGTAAGTTCATATTTCTTGCTTATTAAGTCTAATTTCTGCAAAGCTGGACACCTGGAGTATCTGAATCAACTGTGATTTGTAGTCTGATTCTTCAGCTATGCAACTACTAACTTTTCCAGTTAATTTGACCAGTGCTACATGGCTGATGGCCAACCTACTCAGAAGATTGGGGGTTAAACGATTGCTGAAAAAAAATCTTCGTGAAAATCTTCGACCTCTTTGAGCATCAATAAACCTGCTAGGTTTTAGTCGCCAGTGTTTTTTCTCAAATTACGCTTTCAAATTGGAAATCCTCATCTGTGAACATTCTTTCGACATGTGTATTTTCTGTTGCAATTACTGTGTTTGATGTATAAAGTCATTTGTGATGCACTTTTGGAGGAACTGTATTGGTTGTCGCCAAAGTATCCAGGAGTATCTCAAGGCGTTCACGTGGTGAAATTGAAAGACGGGGTGTGGAGAGGGGGAGGGGGAGGGAGCGCAACTGCCTTCTGTGGGAAAAGATGAGAAAAGAGTAGGGGAGACAGGACTGAGTTGACAGGATGTAAATTTAGCCAAGACGATGGTTAGGTCGATGAGCGGTGGAGCCCAAAATTCATCCGTTAGGACAAAAAAGTATTAGCGAATTGCATCTAGCAGGAATTTACCTGAAAAGAGCATAAATGAAGAATAAGAAAAGGTACGCCAAATTTTGGGCTAATTCGAAGTTGGAAAAGGGACAGGGAGGAGAGTTTTTGCATATGCCACTTCGAAATCCAATATAAAATTGTTGGATTTCAGTGGTATGTTATTACCGGTTCTGGAACTCATGTCCTCTTTTTTTGCATATTAGGGGGGTGTATTTCTAACCAGCCTCAAACCAGTGAGTGATCCAATCGGTTTGGAGTTGTATTGCCCGAAATGGCAAGCCTGAGTTAAATAGTGACCGAAAGGTGGTTTTCTTCCACCCATTTCGCTCACTGTGCGAAATCGTTCAGTCTCCGATACGTCCTGGAGTTCATAGCTTAGTTTTCGGTTTGCAGTATTCGGTGATTTTTGTTCGAGTTCATGGAACATTTTCGGAAATTGTTTTCAAATTTGTAACTTTGTGTGACAGTAACTGCTCCTTATTTGAGGGAATGATTTCATTGCTCATGACTTCTAGAGCATCTTCCATTTCGCTCTCCGTAAATTCCCTTCTGAATTGGCATTTTGCGGCAATCTGACATCCATTTTGTTATGAGATATTTGACATTTGTTGTCAGCAGCTGTTTTGTAATTTACTGACGTTCTATTCTCGCCTCAGTTCAGTAGTCAAATGTTACTAATGGGAAAGTTAGCTTCAAAATCGGATTTTTTGTAGTCGGAATTTGCTTTTTGGCAAAAACCAATTATTCCATCGATGTTCTCAATTTTGGCTTCAGTATTGAGGGAGTCTTACACACAACTTTCATGGATAAAAAAGAAGTATAGGATTTCTGAGGGTGGAGAATTCGACTGTGCCAGTTTGTCGCCCAGTCCGTGTACAACTTGTTCGTTCTTTTCGATGGCTGGGCGGGGCCCATACATAACGGGAATCGAAGCCGTCACCTGCCTTTTTAATAGGGGTCCTTGGTAAGAAGGATTGTCGGCAGCGTTGCCAGCGGGTAAGTGCTACTGGTACTAGTACCATTCGGACGACTTTTATTTTATAAAAAAATAGAAAAAAATGAAAGAAACAAGGGAGAACGCGAACTCATGAGGGGGGCGCGGGAGGGGGAGAAGGTCTGTTTCTGATATTGCCAAAAAGGGGCTTGTTTTTTGAGGCGAATGGAAATGGAGGAAGAAGCGCAACAGGCAGCAAGAACCATTCGATCGTTGTCAATTGCTGGTGATGCTGTACCGCAGCAACTCCGCGATGCACCACTGACCGAGATGCAACCAGCCGAGAATGAAATCTGGGACAGGTTATTTTGTTTTACAAGCCGGGATTATAAAGAAAAGGACTTCCTAACGACCCTCGTGAAAAGATTGCTTGATTTTTGGCCTTTTCTTTTGACTAAACCGAACAAGCGAAGTTTTTTGAAACTCGTATACAGCGTCTTGATAAGTTCAGTGCTAGCAACAACACGCTGGGAGCCTTTCCACTTTTCATTTGAAAGATTTGCATGTGCTGCTTTACTGATGTTTACGTGTGGGATAAAATTGTTGTCTGGAGGCATCAGTTAGAGGGGTTGGGTTTTCGTATTTTGTTGTAGATAATTTCACGTAAAATTCATGCAGCACCCGTGTTTGCCGGGCTTGGACATTTATCGTTGGGAGCCAGATTAGCTCAGATGCAAATTTTCTGAAACTGAGCATTTGATATGCAACTGTTTTTTTTTTTTTTTTTTTCGGTAATATTGGTAACAAAGTGCGTTCGGAGTCGTCAGTTTATTAAACAAAACGCTATTTTACACCATTTCGGTGCGCAAATTTTGTTTGTTTTTCAGTATTTTATATGGTGCAAATGCAGGCAATGCGTTCATTAATGTGGAAGAGGACATACTTACAGTAGGTGTTGTGTTCATTTTTGAAGAAATTATTCCGAAGTTAAGCAGCAAAAAGGGATTTGGGCACAAAAAGTGTATGAGGTTGCGCAGGAAATAGAAGGAATGCTTGCTTTAAACACCTAAAATGATTAAGCTGGCAGCTTTTCTGTTTTCCTCTCTTTTGAGCTTGGCATCCGTGTCGCTTCATGCGGACGTTCGAGCAGATCTTTTTTTTTTCATCTTTTTTTTCATCTTTTTTGCTGTTCTTGTAGGATTGCTTGGGTACCATTTACCAGGCCACTTTCCTCATCGCTTTTCTCGTTTTTGCTGTATAATCAGTCCCCTTTTTTTCCCCATCCTGCTTCATTAACTTCGTCTGTGTCAGACTGAGTTTGTAATTTTATTCTGTCCTAATGACGTGTTAATATGCGTCGATTCGTACCACGCCGCTAACCTGCTAGCTTTCTTAGATGTGATATTTCATTAGATTATGATATTCAATGTCATGCATTCTTGTTGCAGCGTCTCCTGGTTTCATCACTTTCACGGTAGAATTGGAAAATTCCGCTTCCACAGATACTGTCAGTGAAAACTTTTAAAAGCATACCATTGGTAATCCACAAAACCCTCTCTTCATGGGGTCACTGAAGAAACGTAATATTCCAGAAACATAAATAAATCAACGTAATCAACGTAAACGTTAAAAAAATTGAATAAATCAACGTAACAGAAACGTATTAAATCAAAATATTCCAGCTGAATGTGCCACCGCAGATTGAACGAGCAACGAGTGAGCAGTTTGCGAATGCTTTGTTGCAACAAGTCGAAATGCAAGACGTATGTTCTTTGGTCAGTTGAAGGAAAGTAACAATGATATGTATACTCTCTGGATTTTTCGATTGCTTTCTTTTTTTATACTTTGCATTTCAGGCTCAGCTTGCTGCTCGTGCTGTTGATAGTGTTGCTTGGAATCCTGTTAGTGTTGACGGTAATGCTGTTAACATTGGCGGTCCCCTGGCCTCAGCTCCAGCTGATCTTACCCGGCAAGTTTGCCTTTCTTTGAGTACGAAACTTGCTGTAAGCTTTCCGATGATTCTGCTGATCAGCTATGGTTTCGTCATCAATTTGCTGTCACCCTTCCTATGCTTGTGTGCTCAAAGATTGATTAACAGTCCAGTTTGTCGTAGAAATGATATTAATGTCTGCGGTTTAATGGACCGAAACATTCCTACTCATCAAGTTTTCTGATATAATTTTTTATACAGTTTTATATGTGTACACATATGTATATCACGACTAATATCTGTATGAGTCGTTTGCTGGTCACTTGTTGTGAGTGGCCCTGAGGTTCGTTTTTTCTGTTCCCGTCCTTCGGAGATCGTATCTTTGATATTATCACTGTGAGGATGAGTTGACAGAAATGCGCTTGATGAGACTTAAGCGAGCCTCAGAAGTCAGGTCGTATTACACACTGCTTCCAAAAATACACTCACCACTGAAACAGTTTACGTTTGTGCACAGTGCAAACAGTGGGTTCGAAGGCCCGGTGTAAGAGTGACAGGTATCGTAAATCTACCATCCGTATCGGCTGCCCAGCAATTTCAGTGCCTAATTGCAATGAAGAGATGAAAGGATCTGGTGTAATGACGTTCGATGTATTGGAGCAGCACTGGCAGGGGATACCCATATTGATTGCCCCGAGCATTTTTGGTATTTTTGGCATTTACGATGATATGCATATTAAGTTGAATGATAAAACGCGTGCTTGAATACACCTAAAATTATCACTATCGCATAATTTATCGGATGAAGAGGTTATGAAACAGACAGATCCGCTCACTCATTACGGCGGTGAATTGGTACGCGGATGTCAGCTACCAAGACCGACATCAGTCTGCTTATAAGCAGTCTCTGGAAGAAGCCAACGACCGACTTGCCCGCGGATGATTGCTGTTAACACATATTTTACATGGGCTACTTCCGAATGCTTTTGCCTCTGTCCCACACAGAGAGTGAATACGGGAAAGTTTTAAATTTTGAAGTAAATGTATACTTTTAGGTTGAACACGGAACCGTCAAAATTGGAATTTGCGGTGACAGTGGAGGGAGAGCGGATGGGTTATATTGTGCGTATTTGTTTTTACTTTGATGGTTTATTCTTGAGTTTCTTTCTTTTGAAAATTCCTAATTAACGGATTTGCGTGTTAAACTTTTTAAGATTTTACATTTTCGGGGAGTCCTTCCAGTATATCATTAAGCTCATTAATTAGGTAAGCTGAAGCGTGCTCCTGATTAGATGATTTGCTGCCGTATGGGTCGAAATGCGATTGAGAGTGGCACCGCGGAAACTTTGCAGGAATTTGGGAGGACATTATTGAGTTACTCGATTTAGGTATGCTCTTTAAAAAACGGGCTGTTTTGCTCCTTTGCACGTACGTTTGAGGATTTTTGTATAACCGTACATCCGGCACCAGGGGTTATGCGAAAACGTGACATCAGCCTTATGTGCGACGGGTTTTGCTCATTAACTCCGTCACTTACCCTGATAGATTGATCAGCTGTTGCTTGATAGTGGAGCGCCTTCACTCCGTTGATGTGGCTTGCATGACTGATATTTCATGAAGCTGGGATTACAAGACATTCGGTATGTTAATGAATAGTGCCTTCGCTTCTGTGTATTTATGCATTGTATTGAAAAGAAGTGCTGAATTTATCAACTTTTCTCAGTCTCGTGCACTCAAGTCACCAAATAGTGCTCTTTTCTTGTTTTTTTGTAACTGCCATAGAAGATGGAGCTGATTGAAAGTTCACAGTAGCAGCGGGTTCCAGTGCAGATACCCAGTATCACAACAGGAGCCAGTTACAGTGGATTTTTTACTGCTAAAAATAACTGCTTCATTTGCTTGCACTTCCCTACGAGTTAAAATACCGCTTTCTTTTGAGGCCATAAAATTTTTAATTTAGTTTCGGATATCCTGGAGACTTTAAAACGACTTGCACGTGCAGATACCGTCAAAGGCTTGTTTATAAGCAGTTTTTGAAAGCCTTGCCAGTGAGTGATTGCTGTTGGCATTTGTCATCAGTCGTGCTACTTTCGTGTGTTTCTTGTAAACAGTGAATGCGGAGAAAGTTTTGACTGTTAACTTTGGATATCTGTTGTAATTTTTGCAATAAATGTAACTGTTTTCAGTTCCGAAACAATACACTGTACACGAAGATGAATACGAGCGTGAAATTCGCTATACACTGTCCCGTTCCACCGCCGCCACAGTCGTTTATCAGAATTTGCGCGACCTACGCACAGTCCATCTTTGCGGATGAGCCTGTCGCTCGATGTGCTGTGCATCGTTCTCGTGAACGTAAGTTCATTTCTACAGTGGATTTTTGTAAGGAGCGATCCATGATAATACAGTGAACAGTTGACATTGATGGAGTGGTACCGTATCGCTCAGGCTACTTTTCTCGTGGGTCTCTTACAAGGGTGGGGAATGCGAAGAGATTTTAACTTTAGGTTTCATTAACGCAGTCTCTCGCGGATATGCTTTGAGACGGAGCAGCAGCGTGCCAAAACAAAAATCGCCGAGCCGATAGTTTTGTGGTTGGGGTGAAGCAGTGCAAGAAGTAGCGGACGGCTTTCAACTGATGGCGGGTTGCATTCGATTTAGTCCATTCCCGCCTCAGACTTATAGGGGGGTCAGAGCGAGGATTAGCTCATGTGTTTCCCATATTTCTGTGTTTGTAATCTTCTCTGAAATGCTTTAATGCTAGCTTTAGCACCTTCGGATGTACTTTTAATTTTTTATGTGCGGTTAAGCGTCACCCAGTAGGTCTGTACGTTTTTTGCTAAAATCTGCGCTCTTTTCGTTTATAACGTTGGCTAATTCTGTAATCGGCTTTTCTTTTTTTTTTTTTTTTTGCTTTTCTTACATAGTCCTCTGGAAAATCAGTTTTTCAAAAGAATCCGGTGGCCCCCCTATACAAGGGAGTATGCCCAGTACGCAGGATCTCAAACCCGAAAACTCTTGGAAGAATTTTACCGAGCGTTTTTGAGAGAAGCACTGAGTTTTCTAATTATCTGGGGCTGAAACAACCAAATATGATTCAGGGTTTGAGTAACGCACTGCTGCTCTTATATCCCTTTTTATCGCCAAATATCACTTTTGTGCTGCTTTTGTTAATGCAAAAGAGATTTGCATTTCCCTTACCCTCCTTATTTGCTGCTTAAATTTGATGCGTGTTCGTATTCTTTTTGCGGACATCTCTCAATTCCAGGAGTCGCTTGAGTATGCATTAGCATAAAATACTGTTATTGCCGGACTGTCATCGAAGATTTTTCAGCAGATACGGCGGATATGGATCATCATCTGATACTGGTAGACAATGTAAAAGTGTCGTATTTGACCGAGAAAGTTGAAAATTCGGACAAATTACGTCCGTTTATCATCGTTTATTACGATTCACTGGCCTATGTCAGTTGTCTGTCGTTGCGTTTTCGATGCTATTCATCTTGTGCGGGCGGAATTCATCGTCGGCCAGTGGTACTGTGTTTTTCACTAGAAAATGGGTGAGATTTTTATTATTATGCGTTTTTTTGCATCTGTGCAGTGCAAAAACACATACTGTGGAAGGATTGTCGCCTATTTTGTGCGGTACCGATTTTCCACTTCGAGATTTATAAAAGTTACAGAACTGAACTTTTGGGAACATAATCCACATGCATTTATTAGAGAGCTCCTACCGACATGGCTCCCACGTTCGGGCTTATCGAAGTTTTTGGCGGGTAAGCTGCTAATTCGAGAACCAGGAAAGCTAGAATGATGAAATTTAAGGGAATATTTCTGTCCACGTAAGTTTCAATGAATTCAAACACGGTACTCACATATGCGTGGTTCCCGTTTACGAACTCATGAAATTTTTTTGCGAATAAGTTGCTAAGCCAGGAACCTGAAAAGCTATAAGGCTGTAGTTTTAAGAGAATGTTCCTAGTTCATGTATAAATTGAAGATTTTAAATTTGCTCCCTCAAGTGTGCGTATTTCTAAAAACATCTAACTAGGGAACCGGAAAAGCAAAAAAGCTTAATTTTGAAGGACTGTTTCCTAACAGTCCTGGCAGCCAGTCTCAGTTAGTTTAGCTAGAAGCATCTGCCGGAAAAGCGGGTACCGTTAGCGACAAAATTCTGCGGGCAACTGCGAAAAACATATCTTCGTACCGGCATTTGTTATTTATTAAAACTACGTTACCTAAAAATGGACTGAAATTCGTTATTCTCGATGAGTTGCCAGTCTGGCATGTTTTCAGATTAGCCAGAACAATGGAATTTTGTCATAGGCTGTTCTTGAAATTCCTGTGACAATTGATACATCAGATGGTGGTCTTGGCATTCAAGGGGAGCCTGAATCCCTGTCTTTTTTGACACTTAGGGAAGTAGAAGCACAACCTGTCTCAATAAACATAGATTTTTTATCACTTAATAAAACTGTAGAATATTTTAGAAAGCAACTACTTGCTCACTCTGAAGTGCAGCTGAAAATTTGTTCATGTCCGAATCGAGATGCTAATTTGGATGGAGGCAGTTTGCCACGTACGGTTTGCCACTTTTTGCACGTTTTAATAGGGACCCGTCTTGAATAATACAGGAAATCTAATGAAATGTAAACATTTTTTTAATTTCTCGTCTCCTGTGGCTTCAGCATTCATCTTTTCTCGGCTTTCATGAGACGCGTGCCATTATGGCCTTTGCGTCTTATGTAAATACAAAAACACTGTTGTCACGAGGTTATCCAAGCGTGCTTGTGTGTGGATGTATGTATAAGTGTGTATATATGTATGTGCATGTGTGTTTGTGTATTCATGTGTATGTGTGCATGTATGTGTGTATGCATGTATGTATGTGTGTACGTGTGCATATGTATATTCGAAGATAAGTGAACTTAAAAAACTAGGCTGAGGTTTTAGGAGCATGTTCTTAAATCGTGTATTCCTTTCCGTTTTAAAATCTACGTCCATGCATGCCCAAGTTTAACGTATAGATACCTGATAGAAAACGTAGACTTTTTTGCTGGAAGCGATTTCGGGGAACAGAAAAGGTAGGAAATTGAAAATTTGCAAGCATGTTGTTTGTGCATGAGACTCATATTTATCGTGCACGCTTGAATCACACATATGGTCACGTTAAGGCTTGCAGTTGGCGCTGTGCCAGCTATACAGCTAGCCAGAAGACTAGCTATAATTTTGCCAGAATATTTGAAGTTCATCTTGGGACCTGCATGCATATAAACAGAGTTCCGAATTGCACTTGCAGCGCGCCTTAGGGCACTTCGAAGGTATTTGTTGCAAAGTGGTGGTTTTGAGTCCCTGGTAAGTTACAAGGTTGAGATTTTATTGTGATGTTCGGTATTCAAGTGTGGTCTAAATTCAGCTTGAGGACTAAATTCGGTGCATACGGACATGACAAATGCGCTGACTTCATCATCTTTTTCTCTCTTCCTCGACATCCTGTTGTTCACTGCCGATTTTGCATTTTCAGTGAATGACTGGCGACAACAAATTTTTCATTTCTTTTCATGCAAATTTGCGGTAATCATGTTTACTGGAGGTTAAGATTTCATGTCGCCCATGGTGCAGCACTGCACTCCCGAGAGACGTCGTTTTCCTCTTCATGCAAGAAAAGTCCAAAACACAGTCAATGTAAGTGCGCAAAGATCAGCAACACACTTGATCAGATTGTGTTGCATGTCCGAACCTAGGCTCCGTTTGGCAAAGGACGGGGGAAAGGTCAGAAAACTGCTGGCGAGAGCATGTTGTTTTTATGTTCATAGATTTGCATGATATTTTTTGTTCCTTGTTGCTTTTAAGCTTCCTTTTGTTTTTTTGCCTCATTAGCGAAATTCAGGGACGCATATTGTCGGGAGGTTGTGTGCGTGAGTGTGTGTTACTGCTTGTCCGCCTGTGTGTTTATCGCTTTGTGTTTTCGTATTTTTCCAACACTTTCAGTAGGAAGCTTCTATTTTGCAGAAACGTTTTCTGTCCAAATGCGATCCGAAGTAGGCACATGCACTCAAGTAAAAGTTCAACTCGAAAACCGGATTGGACGGAACGGTGTAATTCTGTTGAGGCGTTGCCTGTTCGTAGTCCAAAGGCATAAAATTAGCTGTGTTTTGCATAGTTATGCGTCACCTTCAGCTGAAATCGAAAGCTATACTCTTTTACATGAATGATTGCTGTAGATATGCAGACCCGCAAACGTAAAGAAGTCCTCACTTATGTCTGCGTTTTCATTTGCGAATGCTTCAGTCCTCAGTATATTCCAGCCCCAGCTATTTGAACAGTATCAGTAAGCAGTGACTTCAAAATTCGCCTCCATTGGTCACGTAACATATTTGTTTACTGGGTTTTTACTTTTTTTTTTTAAAACAATCTATTTTTAGGTGGTAGGACATGTTCTCGACGAAGTCTGGATCTCTCAACAGAAAACCCTCTTGTTATAACACTAGGAGAAACGAAAACACTCAGCTGTAGCCCGAATGACAGCAGTACTTTTAGCAACTCCGATATTGCATCTGCCAATTTTGGGATTTCGTTTACCAGTGATGATAATACTCTAGCCAACGCTGTTAATATCATTGCCAGCGCCATTGATGCTTCCAAAAGCGCTTGTACCATTGTTGATAATGCTTCTGCCAGCATTAGTTGTGCTTCCGATAGCACCTGTACCGCTGTTGATGATTT